TTTTAATTTTAATTTCTGTTGTAATGTTTTACTGAATCTTTCTGATTTTCCTCTCTTTTTATTTTGATATGCAAGTTAATTATTTTTTTGATGAGATTAATCTGTAATTTATTTTCTTCCCTACTTAAAACAGTCTATTTTACCTTGAAATCTAATTGACTTTCTTGCCACATGGAAGTTCTGTATCTACACTAGTCCCTCTTTATGCTTTGTAGTTGAATTCACTGCACATTGATAGCTCTGGTTCCCTATTTTCATCTTACAGATTTGTTTTACTTTAAATACTTCTATATCTGGATTGGAGTCTTGGTGTGGTGCTGTGGGTTAATGTACTGGAATGCAAGGTCAGTTTGAACCACAAGGCCAGCAATTCAAATTCACCAACTGCTCCTGGGAAACCTATACAGGGTCTCTACGAGCCGGAACCAACTCAACAGTACTTAACAAAAACACATCTGGATTGAGTTATCTCCGGTTGTTGTTTGTCAGATCAAAGAACACCCTTTAGCATTTTTTTTTAATAAAGTCATTACACACTCCTTGAATTTCTGTTTATTAGGCAATGTCCTAATTTCACTATTGTATTTGAGGGACAGCTTTGCTGGGCATATGATTCTTGTTTGGCGATTTTTTTCTTTCAGAATTTTGTATATGCCATCCCATTGTCCTCTTGCCTGCATGGTTTCTGCTTTGTAGGTAACTTAATCTGTTCTCAAGTTTCTATTGTTTGTCATAACCTGGAAGATTTTTAAAGTTTAGCAGCTCGTAGCACTATTTCTCCTGAAAATTTTGTATTTTTGAGTAAACCTGGTTACATATAAAATATATTTATCCTAAAGATTTATTAAACTTATACATTCCAGTTTTCCCCTTCAATCTCCCTCCATCATCATGGCTGCATCATTTCGAACATCTTTGCCCCACCTTTACGGTTTGATTATTTCTGTTGTCAGGACTTTGGACTTATACTCAGCTCCCTATAGAATTGTGGGAAACTCACTCTCGAGAGTTTTGTTTCTTCCTGGTGTTAGGGAGAGGAAAATGATGCTAGTTGGGAAGGCTATGTGGCAAGACCTGGGGCATTGGAAGGACATGACCTCAGACTGGTGTATTGGCACAGCCTGCAGGCCCATGAAAGGAGCTATACGCTGGGCTGCTCTGCCCATCCCGGACAAGAGTCTGCTGCTGCAGGTGGGTGAGAAGGACACATACACTAAGGCCAGGAGACAGCGGAAGCAGGCAAAATCACTGAAGGAGACTGTCACCTGGGAACTGGTGGTCCTGCAGAGGATGCTGAAGGAATGGAAGACTGCGTGGTCTCTGAGTGAGTGAGGGGGAAGTCCTGAGTTGTTTAAAGGGAGAGGGGAGCTTTGTCTTACTGGTCTATCTCCATCTTTTCAAACTCAATCCCTCACTCATGAAGTATAGAGATTGCCTCACCAAAGCTAGACTGGAGCCTTGCACAGTTTTTAGATGAACACTTGTTGTTGTTGTTGTTAAGTGCCTTCGAGTCGGAGCCGACCCATAGCGACCCTTCACTAGCTGATCTATATCTAAGTGCTTTCGCAAGGACGGCGAGCAGGAGGGAGAAATCATATCATCTGACTTCCACAATGTGTGGAAACTCACTACACTGAGACCTAGACAGGGATCCTATCTGAATCCTCGTTTCTAAACTTTATGCTCAATAAATGATGCATAAAGCAAAGGATGAAAAAAATGCTGCCCAAGTATTGTAAATTTAGTGACCAAGAGACTGGCTGACTGTGGTAAAAACAAACCCTCTCCACTTCATTCGTGGAACTGGGATCGTCATGTATCTATTCTGATTTCAAAGAGCCCTGGCAGGGTAGTGGATTACGAGCTGGGCTGCTAACTGCAAGGTCAGCAGTTCGAATCTACCAGTTGCTCCATGGGAGACAGATGACGTTTTCTGCTCCCATAAAGATTTACAACCTCAGAAGCCCTATACAGGGTCACTATGAGTGGGAACCTACTTGGTGGCATACAACCACCACCACCACTGTTCTGACTTTAAAGATAAGGGAATAGAAGGTTGACTCTTTAGGGGCCCACAAGAACTATTGAAAACTATAGTATTTGAGGAGTTCAGGCCATGGGCTGTGGGCTTGTAGGCTGAGAGACTAGTGTAGGAAAAAGAGGTGATCCACGAAGCAAACTGGATCAGATAAATGAAAAAGTGTTGAAAAAGAGTGTCTGAGTAATGAGTACTATAGACAGGCGCATCTGAAGATGGCGGAGGTGTGCCGTGGAGTCAGTTCCAACTCATAGTGACCCTGCATAAGGTTTCTGAAACTGTAATTCTTTACGGGAGCTGAAAGGCTCATCTTTCTCCCACGGAACAGCTGGTAGTTTCGAACTACTGACCTTGAGATTTGCAGCCCAACTCTTAACCACGACACTACCGAAGCACTGAAATAAGTTTGAAACCTGCAAAAAAGAGCACTTAGTGACTTAAATGAGCAGGACCTTGAAAATCAGATCGAAGAGCCCTCAAAGGCAAGGAAGCCTAATGGCAAGCACAATGAACATATTATTGAGTCCCTATTATCTTGCTGCCAGCATCTTGCTAAACACTTTGTCTAGTTATTACATTTAGTGCTCAAAATGACTTAATTTGGTAGGTTTTATTCTCATTTTACAAGTAAGAAATTGCAGGTTCAGAGAAGTTAAGTAATTTATCCAAGGTCACACAGCTAATGACTACAATTCCAAAACAGTTATGTTGGACAACAGAGTACCCTTAACCCCTATGTTTTACTGCCCCTTTTATTTCCAGATGCCAACAATCAAGAATTTAACAGTGAGAAGTAGAATGTTAGACAGAACTGGGAAGTTTTGTTTGGGAACTGAGAAGGTACACAGATCATCAGAGAAATAACTTCCCCCCAAAGACTCATTTCTAGAGCCCTTTAATTTTCTGGGCTAGTGTTTTACTTGAATGGTCCAAGGGGAAATGTGATTTTTTTGTCACTGCCTGTGGCAGAATATCTCATTCTAACCAGGTGGCTTTCTTCCATTCCCTTCACTGTGACACAGTCATTGAGTGGCACCACGAGACAGTGGAGGGCCTGCAACGGAGCTTGACAGGCATGCATGACGACATTCGTATCCAAGCCATCATCACATGTGCCACAGCAGCTTTGGAGCAGGCCCATCTTGCCACCAGTCAGGAGGACTCAGGTGAGAGCCAGGCTAGATTGCTTATAAGCAACTCACAGAGCCAGAAACATTTGAATTATCTGAGATCATTTTCCAAATGTGGGCACCGACACTCAGAGTCTGGCCTGAATTTACACAGCTTATTACCAGGTGTGGTGCTTTAAGAAAGCACTGGACTGCTAACCGCAAGATTGGTGATTCAAATCCACTAGCCACTCCTTGGAAACTGCATACAGGGTAGCTGAGTCGGAAACAACTCAACAGCACTTAACAACATTACCACCTGGATGGTATAAATGGTTAATGTGCTTGGCTGCTAACCAAAAGGTTGGTGGTTCAAGTTCACTCAAGGTGCCTCCGAAGAAAGATCTGAAGATCTACTCCTAAAAAATCAGCCATTGGAAACACTATAGAGCATGGTTCTACTCTGACACACATGGGGTTGCCATGTGTTGAGTTATTGGTTGGTCAGTAATGGAGATGAATTGTAGACAATGAACAGAGATGATTAAAATTCCTGACTTCTAGTCCAATGCCTTTTGTATGTACCTTATTGGGTTTTGTTTGCTCAGTGGCTTACAGAAGTTCACATCTTCCCTGTGAACTGTGAGAGATAACATTCATTATTGTCAAAAACTATGAGGGGGCTTCAAAAAGTTTGTGGAAAGACAGAATTAAAGATAATGGAATTTTTTCTACAAACTTTTAAAAGTTTTTAAAACATTTTTTAAAAATTACTTTCCTTTTTTAAATTACTTTAGCTCTTCTCTTGAAAGCACATCTGAAACTTCATGTGTCTAAAACTGAACTCATTACTATCCCCACAGACCCTTTTCTTATTAGCCCGTTTCTGAACCAGGATCCTGGACGTCATTCTGGACAACTCCTTCCTCTTCCACAAACCAATCATTTCATTACAATTCATTGTTTCTCCAAATATCTTTTTGTTCTCCTAAATTACAAAAATACATCTATAATATCAGTAAACACACTGTGCCCATTCCAAAGAGAGGTAACCCAACGGAATGCGGAAATCATCGGATAATCTCTTTGATATCCCATGTGAGTAAAGTTTTACTAAAGGTAGTACAGAAACGGCTACAATCATACATTGACAGAGAACTTCCAGAGGTTCAAGCTGGATTCAGAAGAGGCCGTGGAATGAGGGATATCATTGCTGATGTCCGATGGATCTTGGCTGAAAGCAGAGAGTATAAGATATTTACCTGTGCTTTATTGACTACGCGAAGGCTTTCGATTGTGTGGATCATGACAAGCTATGGACAACATTGCGAAGTATGAGTATTCCGGAACACTTAATTGTGCACATGAGGAATCTGTACATGGACCAAGAAGCAGTTGTTCAAACAGAACATGGGAACACTGAATAGTTTAAAATTAAAAAAGGTGTCCGACAAGGTTGTAGTCTTTCACCATACCTTATTCAATCTGTATGCTGAGCAAATCATCTAAGAAGCTGGGTTATACGAAGAAAAACGTAGCATCAGGATTGGAGGAAGACTCATTAACAACCTGCGATATGCAGATGATACAACCTTGCTTGCTGAAAGTGAAGAGGACTTAAAACGTTTACTGTTGAAGATCAAAGATCACAGCCTTTGGTATGGATTACATTTCAATGTAAAGAAAACAAAAATCCTCACCACTGGACCAATAAACAACATTCTTATCAATGGAGAAAGGATTGAAGTTGTCAAGGACTTCATTCTTTTGGGATCAACTATCAACATTCACTGAAGCAGCAGTCAAGAATTCAGACAATGTATTGCATTAGGCAAATCTGCTGCACAAGACCTTTTTAAAGTGTTGAAGAGCAAAGATGTCAGCTTGAGGACTAAGGTGCGCCTGACCCAAGTCATAGTATTTTCAGTAACCTCATATGCATGCGAAAGCTGGACCGCAGAAGAATTGATGCTTTTGAGTCATGGTGTTGGAGGGGAATACTGAAAATGTCATGGGTTGCCAAAAGAACCAACAGGGCTGTTGGAAGAAGTGCAGCCAGAGTGCTCCTTGGAGGCCAATTTAGCCAAACTTTGTCTCTCATACTTCGGACATATTGTCAGGAGGGACCAGTCACTGGAGAAGGATATCATGTTTGGTAAGGTGGAGGGTCAGAGAAAAAGAGGAAGACCCCCCAACGAGATGGATTGGCCAAGTGGCAGCATTGATGGACTCAAGCGAGGCAACAGTAGTGAGGTTGGCCCAGGATCGGGCAGTATTTTGTTCTGTTGTGCATAAGGTTGCTATGAGTCGGTACCAATCGATAGCACCTAAAAACAACAGCATATATATATGTAGATACATATATTATTCTTAGTAAACATATATATATTCTTCCATCCTCTTTCCCAGTCTTCCATTGTACTTCCAGAGCAACAAATGTTTAGTTTGGCTTAAATCCTTCCACATCTTTTTCTTTCCGTTTACAAACATATGCCAATATATATGGGGACATAGTTTCTGTTAATTACAAAAATGAGTATTGAGTATTATCAGACACTTCCTGGTTTCCCTATTTAAGGATATGACAAAGTCTGCTGTTAAATTCTTGGAATAAATCCTCCCAGACCATGGTATATTATTCTCTTATAACTCCACTGGGCTTGATCTGTTAACACAATTGTAATCTGCATTCATAAGTGAAATCAGCATATAGTTTTGCTTTTTTTATACTATTTTTAAGTCTTAGTTTTTTACTAGCTTTGTACAATGGATTGAGAACTTCATTTTTACCAATGGTCTGGAATCTTTTGAAAAAGAAAAATCAATAGCTCTTCTCTTTATTAGCAATAAGCAGGTAAGTAGAAAAAGATGCAATTTCCCAGCTACAAGAGCCACAAAACTGTAATCTACTGAGGAACTAGTGTTACAAAACACAGGACTCAGCTGACAAAAATGCTACTGAAAAGATGTAAAAGGTGACTCCCGTATCTCTCAGTGCCCTTAGATATTTCATTAGGTCATTTTTCTTTGTCTGCTTTAACTTTAACTTACATCTTATTTTACGGTTAATACACTCCCGAGCCATATCTGTTTCTTCAGTTTCTTCTGAGATATCTTTTTCTTCTGTGCAACCTAGTCTTCTGGTTTAGGAACAAGTTGTTCCTTTTCAGTGACGATCATCTCAATGTGGCAGCGGAAGCTCATGTAGGGGTTGATCCGACCATGAGTCTCTGTAAAGTGTGGTGCACCTGGATGTGCTCAATGACCAGAGAAGCCACACCTAAACCCCTAAGTTCAGCATTACTCTCTGCATTTTTAAGCACATGCAGCAAAAACTCAGCACTCTTTTAGGGCCGACCGTGTGTACAACCACACTTTTGGCCTGGGCACACCTCAATGGCACTATTGTAACATCAGAACGGTACACATTGCTTCTGCAAAGTGACAACTTTCAGATACTTGGTAGCTTTTTGGATATACATACCCTTGATGGCCTGGGCAGTTTCACAGGTGCTCTTAAAATGGACACGGAGATTTGAATCTCTTGATTTGCATGATTTTGTGGGGTTTTCTGGAGCAAGTGAATAGCAAACCATTTTGTACGATCACTTCAGGCCACTATGGGAAGAGGAAGAATGGTGTATAAGGAGCCCTGGTGGTACAATGGTTAAGTGCTGGGCTGCTAACTGTTGTTGTTGTTAAGTGCCGTCGAGTCGGTTCCGACCCATAGCCACCCTGTACAGGGTTTCCGAGGGTGTAAATCTTTACGGGAGTAGAAAGCCTCATCTTTCTCCCGTGGAGCGGCTGGTAGTTTCGAACCGCTGACCTTAAGGTTCGCAGCCCGATTCGTAACCACTACGCTACCAGAGCTAACTGAGAGGTTGTTAATTCCAACACACCAGTTGCTCCACAAAAGAAACATGAGGTAATTCACTTCAACTTATTATCATTAAAAAAAGACCTTATAACAAAACTCACCATCTTATCAAGCCAATTCCGACTTAGTCACCATATAGAACAAAGCAGAACTGCTCAACAGGGTTTCCAAGACTGTCAATGTTTATAGAAGTAGACTGCCAAATCTTTCTCTTGTGGATCAACTGGTATGATCGAACTGCTAACCCTTTGGTTAGCAGCCTAGTGTTTTAACCATTGTGGCACCACCAGGGCGCCCTTCTGTATAGATTGTTGTTGTTGTTAAGTGCCATTGAGTCCATTTCGACTCATAGTGAGTCTATATAGGGTTTTCAAGAGTGGCTGGTAAGTTTGAACCACCGACCTTGTGATTCAAACCAACCTTGCAGTCAGTGCTTAATTCCACAGCGCCACACCAGACTCCTCTGTAAAGATCACAGCTTTGAAAACCCCATCCAGTAGACCTACCTTGTCCTATAGGGCTTGTCCTGAGCCATAAAATCCTGCCCATTGCAACAGGGCTCAGCTAACTCTAGTTGCATTCAGCAGCAGTTAAGCACCTGCAGATAAGACCAAAGGTGGCTGCCATGGAGCATTAGAAGGACACTGTGTTTGAGAGAAAAGCAAAAGGCTAATACCGTCTTACCTGGTGCTCTTCTGGTCACAGATCTGGACACTGTGAAAAACCCACCTATCCAGGACTTGCCAGAGGTTCTGCAACCCGCTCTGAAGGCTGCGCTGTGTGACAAGAATGTCAACGTGCAGATGGCGGCAGCATTGTGTCAATATGCCATACAGTCACACAATCCCCTTGCACGGGACATCATGCAGACTGCCCTTTTGAAGGGTGAGTAGCTCCCTGTTGCTTCTGAGCTGGGAATAGGGGTAAAGAGAGGCCCTCTCATCATCAGTGTCTCCAAATTTTGGTTTTTCCAGTATCAGACTCTGTGATGTCTGCCTCTCAGAGGTGTGGGCTTATGACCTGTGGTGTTGCCAGGTGCCATCGAGTTGGTTCTGACTCATAATGGCCCTATGCACAACAGAACAAAACACTGCCCACGGCCAGGTCCTGCACCATCCTTCAGTTAAGAATGGTAGAACGCTCAATTAGTGCTTCCTAGGTACTTTTACAAAGAGGCATACTGCCACCAAGTGGTACCTGGGCTATGGCATAAAGAATAAATTAGCTAAGATGCATTTAAAAATAATAGGAGCGTTTCATTAGACACCATGCCCCTTTCATACCACCTGCTTTTAAAATATATATTTTTTGGAAATTTGATGTGTAATGGTTGTAAAATGTTGTTTTCAATACAAATTGTTAAAATGACTTTTAAAAAGGTAGTATCAATTATACTTTCACCAGCAACCTGTGAAAATAGCCTTACCCTGCACCTACTCCATCATGGGTTACGTGTTTTTCATTTTTGTAGTTTTGCTGTTGAGAATATACACACCAAAACATACATCAATTCAAGTTTCTACATGTCTAATTAATTCAGTGACACTGACCTGACTACATTATTCAAGCTGTGCAACCGTTCTCACCCTCCTTTTCAGATGGAGTTGTTCTTCCCCTGGAAACATGCACTCACAGCTCCCTAAGTTCCTACTGAATCTTTGAAGTTGATGTTATCGCTTTGACACCATATAGTTAAGTGAGCATAATGCTCAAAGCAGACCTTGTTACTAGTTAAGTTCAAGTTTTAAAGAAACTAGTTAAGTTCAAGTTTTAAAGACTTCGTTTAAGACTTCAAGGGTATTTTTTGGTTTAAAGTTTAAATATTATCTCAGGGGAAGTTTCTGGGGCCACTTCGTTTGTTTTTTTTTTTTAGATGTGGAATTGTCTAATGATTCCTTTCCTCTAGAAGACTATGGCATTGTCTCTGGAATGCTCAGTGTTAAACACTACAGGACTGCCCCATATCCTCTTGGCACTGGGTGATGAAGGCTTTTGACAGGGAGAGAGAGTGGCCATCTACAGTGGCTCACTTCAAGTAGCCTGAGTGTTCAATACCATTCTCCTGCCATAGGATGGTGGAAATCATGCCAGTGTGAGTCAAGATAGACCTGAGGAAGGGAGTTCCTAAAGTTCAGACAATACAGTCCTGAAACATCGCAGGAGGATGGAGACTCTTCTGAAAATGTCTGTGGCCAGACAGGGACGTTAAATGCTTTTAAAAGAAATTCATTTGGGTGCTAGCATGAACCTGATGATCGTCAACACCCTTTTTGTAGTTCAGTGATTCTCTTATTCTGATCTGCCAGTTATTTCTGTATATTTTGAATCAGATTATTTTTTTCTCCTTGAGAATTAAATACATTTAGATTTAAAAAGAAAAAAAAATGATAAAGAACACTGTGGGAATTAAAAATTCACTACCTGAAGAAATCATGTTTCCACTTTTGCACATGATCTTCCAGGCATTGTTCACTTGCACTGTTGGGAGTCAAGCAGTCAAAAAGGCTGTTGGGTGACAGGCCCACAGTGCTCTTCTATAAAGCATTTGTTTCTTGCTTTGACTTGAGAAACCACTGTTTGACTGGAAGGCTTTCTCTATAAAGACACTCAGCTCAATTCACTTTCCTCAGCAAAGCCTGCACTTCTGCCTGCCCAGCCTCTGGGAGGAGCAGGTAGGCAGTGCCTTACCACTGTTATCTGATGAGTCTTTTAGGGTTGACTCTTCAGACTGAGGTTTTTAACCCCTACTTAAAATCTTGACAGGATCCATTTAAATATGGGATTGGATTTCCAGATTAAGAGGGACACAGGGAAGAGAGCTATCAGGCAGTAGCAGACTCAGGAACCAATCCAAAGATTGTTCTCTCTGGGGGAGAACAGATCACCATTGGGCACTGCACTTCATTTCCCCTGTGGCAGGCAATACTGTAGACAGCTGGGCTGCAGCTCAGTGCTTGGCTCTGGACGGTGATGCTACTTACCCAGTGATTAAGCGGATCCTCAACCAGCTGTTTGACAAAAAGGACAAGGACACTGAAGACCAGTCTTGCATCCTCCTAAGTCATCTTAGCAGCAAGACGGTATGTTTCCACTAGCGGGTCAGATCAAGAAACCAAGGTTTGGGAAACAACTGGGCCTTTGAGGTACAGGTATGTAAGGAATCCAAGATGCATACAGTCAAGTAGAAAGTGGGTTTTGTGTGGGTGAATGTAGGCAGTAGGATGTATACAAGTGGCATCAGTTAGCTGAAAGAAAGGTGAGAAGACTAGATTCCAGACAGTTTGTGTATGTAACAAGAGTCAAGACAGAGACTTTGCTTCTGTTAGAAATTTACCACTGAAAACTGCACACACCTACAACTGTGATGAGTCACTTTCAGCAGAAATGTGAAATCACAAAGACTGAGGCATTTTAGGAGTAAAGACAAGTCAAAGACAGAAGGTCACAGAATTTAATGTTGAGATTAAATCTGTATTTTGTTCCCACAGTCAGTAGGCTGCAATGGAAAAGAACCCAGGGTCTGCTGGGCCGAATCTCTCCTTTGTTGGGATGGGTAGCACATGGACTATTGACATTAATTGCGTGGGTACCCCTCAAGGTTCCAGTATCTCTATAAAAGTGATGGTGACTATTATTCCACAACTTCATCTCCTCAGACCCTGATCCACACTATGCTTGCCGTGGAGCTGAACAGCCGTCAGTGGACAGACCGGATTGTAGCCTGCCGGGCCCTGTCTCGGATCAGTGGAAATGTCAGTATGGTAGGTCTTCTCTTTCTGCGATTCTCAGCTAGGGTAGGGGTTCTTCCTCTTTCTGTTGCTATCTAGTATCCCAGTCTTATCAACAAGATTGCCTTCACATTACTGCCCCATACTCCTAATCCAAAATTGTCTTCGAATGCTGAGGTGTCCTTCTGTGTTTTCAGTGTGGTGGCAGTCAGAAATTAACTGGCTCACAATGAAATAATTTCAAACACAGAGAGTAAACGTTAGGAAACTCTTATAAATAACTTGGCATTGTCTCAACACAAATGTGTTTTACAAAAGATTCCACCAGTAACATTTCCCTCCCGCTCCCAAAAAGTATTAGTCCTTCATTACAGACAGAGAAGCACTGACTTAAGAACCCAACTCTAGTAATGTCTACGCTGACTATCCCTGAATGGTCAGCAGGCACAGAAGAAGGTAAAACACGATCCCCACAGCATTGTTGAAGCACCAAGAATAACATACACAAATGATTCAAGAGCAAGCAGTAAATGTAAGGTACTCTCAAAATTCCTCAGAGAAGGAAAGATACTGTTTGGACGGAACTTACCAGTTAGAGTTTTGTGAAGGAGTGTGTGACAGCTGAACAAGACTTTGATAGAATTGAAGAGGGAATTCCAAGAAAGGGAAACCATGACTGTCATTTAGGTTTCCACTTGACCTTCTTTTTGTCATTATTTCCAAACCATCTCCAATTGCCCAAGAGAGGGCTTTCCCTTCTTGCACTATTTCTCTTTCCCATAACACTGGGTACCTTCTGAATAGCCCAGAACACTGCCACAGCTCTGAGAAGTAAACACCATCCACTCTTTGGAACTTCCTTTTTTTTAAAAAATATTAATTTTTTAAGCCCTCACCTTTTGATATGGGAAGCATAAAACCTGGTCCTTGAGCGTAATCACCAAAAGATATTAAAGAATGGGTTCATTCTGTCTCAGTGCTATTGTACCCTGCAGAAGCAGGCTAGGCATCGCATGGGAGCTTGTCAGAAACGCAGTCCTAGTCAGGACACACAATCAGTATCTGCTCTTAAAAAGTCTCCAGCTCACTTGCACATTTGCCTCCTCAGCACTTGTCACTAAGGATTGCCAACCAAGAGTAAAAAGATCAGCAGAGCTCACCGGGGATGAGGTCAAGTCACAAAACTTCATGTCAGCTAGAATAAAAAGGCAGTATGCCCCTCAGTTCTTCACTCGTTCAGTAAGCAAGCAGTTTTTGACCACTTTCTATATTACCAGGCTAGCACTAGGGATGCAAAGATGAATAAGACATATTCTGTCTTGGATGATCTCCTGGTAAATGTTTCAAACAGCCATAATAGTAATACTGGAAGTTACTGTGGTGACTTCCTCTGCTTCAATAGCAAAGAGAAGTTCACTGAGAAGATGTTACCTGAGCTAAACTTAAAGGAAAAGTTGGAAAACAGGTACCAGGTTGGGTGAGAAACGGAAGATGGTTCAAGCAGGGAGAATAGCTTGGACACAATTATAAAGTCATTGAGTACAAATGCAGTAATCTTTGTCCCGTTCCCTCTAGGAGAAACAGACTTTAATACTTACAGTAAGCAACTATCCTGCCTTACCTGAGAGATTGAAGGGTTTCCTGGATTACAGGACTTTCAGTGCAAAAGTGGAACAATCTCAAGCAAATGGGGGCAAGTTGGTCACCCTATTAATCTACCGCTTAAAATGTTTAAATCACTCAGGTACAAATTAAACTGGGCCCAGCACAATAGAATAGTTAACACATGAGCTTTGGAAACAGACCATGGTTTTGAGTCTTGGCTCCAGTTCTCACCAAATTAACTTGGGCAAGTAAATCTAAAGGTCTATTTTACCATCTGTAAATTCTAACATCGGCCTCATTATATTGTTTGGGAGGACTAAGGAAGATACCACAGGTAAAAAAAAAAAATCTTAGCACAGTCTCAGTTACAAAAGTAATGTCTGGTAAATTATAGCGATTTATTACAACTACTTGTAGGATATGAAACAGAAGTTGATTGAACTGATGTGGAGCGACTGGAATAAAAAAGTGAGGCACGCAGCTGCCCATGCTCTGGGGCAAATGAGCCTTGGGAAAGAGGTGCATGACAAGATCAGGTAGGACCACGGCCACATGCAGAGAGAAATGTTTCTACTCTTGGAAGTGTTCAGGACATGTGGGATCCAGTCAGCCAGCAGTGTCCTATGTCCCATTGCTAGATATTTTAAAAGAAAGAAAAAAAGTTAACTGTCCCTGGGGGTGGGGAAAGAAGTAGTAATCGAGTGCATATATTAGATCCTGGGCAATTAGTTTAAGGGAGTTCAAAAGTTTATCATGATTCTGATTACAAAGGCAATAGACAGAAATACCTATTTTTTTAAACTACAAACCAAATTATCTTAAGAATTAGAACAAATGGCATATATTGTAACTGCTCTAGCAGAAAAATGGAGCATCCAATGTGGAAAAGAAAGAAAGGTCAAGGTTCATGATAGATGGCTAAGAGTGCATAGACAGGAGGCAGCATTCCAGGCTGGGAGTCAGATGCAGAATTGAGCAGGACACCTGGAAGGGCAGTGGAGAAGACAATCTGCCGCTTTCCTTTATCCACTCAGTCAGCATAGCGAATGATGGTTGAGGTGTCTACCCAGCGAAGCTTAACTTAATGGGCACAAGGCTGAAGAGGAAGGGGTGGAACTGGATAATGAAGAGCCTACAGATTTTGAGTTTTATCATGAGGGCTTTGAGACAGAGGAAGGGCAATGGACTATATAAAGAGGGAAACTTAAAAATCACCTGGTGCCTTACAGAGTCAAGCTGGGTCAAGGAACTTCCCAGGAGCGTGTGGAGGCGCTCTCACTGATTGGTGGGCTCCAGCTCATGACGGCCAAGCTTCTCCCAAACTTCCTCAACTGCTTCTCCGATGATTTTGTGGCAGTGAGGCAGGAAGCCTGTTTGGCAGCTGGTGCCCTGCAGATCCATGACAAAATGGTAAATCAAGGAAGCTATGTTCCCACTGTACCTAAAGGAACTAAAAAGGGCACTCTCTGATCTTCCCTTTGTTTTGCCTAACATTCTGTGGGGCCACAAAATGAGATCAGACAGGAGGGTGCCCAGACTTAATTCTAAGGTTTACCTTATCCTGTTCTCTCCTCAGCTAACTATTGTTGTTGTTATGTGCCGTGGAGTTGGTTCCGACTCATAGCGACCCTGTATAGGGTGTCCGAGACTATAAATCTTTATGGGAGCAGAAAGCCTCCTCTTTCTCCCGCAGATCAGCTGGTAGTTTCAAACTGCTGACCCTGAGGTTAGCAGCCTGATTCGTAACCACTATACTACCAGACTTCCTAGCTCCTAGCTTCCCACTATCTGGTTGCTGATGGGCTTCAGGACCCAATTCCAGTGAATGGGGTTAAAACATAAACCAAACTTCTGATTCATGGTACTCCCACGTGCTGCAGCTCCACAGTATTCAAGGCCGTGACCTTTGGATACAGATCATCAGGCCTTTGTTCTGAAGTATCTCTGGGCAGTTCAAGCCGCCAATCTTTTAGTTGGTAGTTGAGCACGTAACTATTTGTCCCACCCAGAGATTCCTGGGTTATAACATGCTGTTGTTGTTAGGAGCTATTGACTCAGTCCGATTCATAGCGACCCTGTATAGGGTTTGCAATGCTGTAAATCTTCATGGGAGCAGAAAGACTCATCTTTCTTCCACAGAGCAGATGGTGGATTTGAACTGCTAACCTTGCAGTTAGCAGCCCAATGTGTAGCTCACCCCTGGGATAACTGATTGAAATGTCCAATTCAAGTATGTATGGCCAAATATGTGTGCTGAGAAAATCAATCTAGAGTCCATCTAAGTCAGTGATTATACTATGTACGCAGGCTTGTCTACATAAAATCATGGAAGGTCATTTCTCTGTTAAAGCACAATCTAGAGACAAAGGACTCCCTTGTTTTAGCTCAACACTTGACTTTTATCCATCATCCTAGGTGCTGGAATGCCTCCTGGATCTGATGCAGAGAGATCCCTCCTGGAAAATCAAGGCCTTTGCCATTCGAGGTATTACAGAAGCAATGGTTCCAACTCAACTGCAAATACCTTCCCATATGCTAATACAGATGAAACTGTCCAGGAGTGGGTGGAATATACGGGATTGATGACCTTGGCTTCTCATTAGTTCCTTGCCTGAGAAGGGAAAGATTTGCTTTTTAATTTTAGTTAAGGATCCTGAGTCTAGGAGTAGGTCAAACTTATAAAGGCAAGGGGATAACAAGACAGTCCCTGCTGATAGAATTAGAGGTAAGTTCCAATAAAGTATCCACTGTTGGATGTATCTTAACTTTTCCTGGAGGTTTCAACATTGGGACTCTGTAAACCCAGACGAGATCCAAGACTGTTAAAAGACCTCAAACTCTGCTAATTTTTCCAGTCTCTTTTTAGGAATTGTTGGCATTGCTACTCTCTCTGACAGTCCCTAGCAGAAGCAGCCCTAGGTAAACCTGTGACATAGTTAACTGTCTCCCTCCCACATCACCCTGCCTTGACAAGGCTGGTGTTCAACAGGTCGATTAGTACATGCTCATGTGCTAACAGGCAAAGTACGATGAAACACCCCTCTCCAAGGTATCCTCTGGAGATACTGTTCTTCTCCAACCTATTCCTAAAATTCTAATGGTGATTAGGTGCCACTCAAAAAGGAACATATTGTTTGCAATACTCATGTATTTACTAATGGGGCCACTATTTCTAGATGCTAGGTTATAGCCAAGTCTCAAACAACAGAGGACCATGCTTCCCTTTCATCTCTATAGCTTTGGGACAGATTGGTCAAGTAAGTCCCCAGCTGACAGATCTCCTGCTCTGGGCTATCCACTATGAAGAATCCCCAGCTGTACGACTGGAAGCCTGCCGTAGCATACTAGCTCTCAAACTTCAGGGGAACCGGGTCAGGGACACGTTCCTAGACGTCCTCCTCCTGGAGAATCACGATGCTGTTCTAAAGTAAGTGCTTCCTGATGCCAAGGTCTCCCAACCTGTTGACAGATCCATCCCTGCCTTTCCAGACAGCCTGAGGATAGTGAAAGCACAGGATCACCCAAGTTACTCACCTACTTAACTTACCAAATGGGGAACAGAAAAACAGTCCAAAATAGTCAAAGCTACGTAGGTCATACACCTTTCCTCTGCCCAGGTAATTTGAGATCATAGTTATTCAACTAACATTTAAGTACCTAACCTGGTCTCTGTCAAATACCAGGGTTTGAATCCCAGTTCTGGCAAGTACTAGCTATGGGAGCCTGAGCAAACTACTTAACATTTCTACATGTATCAAGTGCAAATGATGGTCTGTCTACTTTATAGAATTGTAATGATAATTAATAGCATGACATGAGTGTAGCACTGTAGGATATGCACTGGACTGCTAAGCATAAGGTCGCCAGTTCAAACCTACCAGCTGCTCTTGGAAACCCTACACAGGGTTGCTATGAATTTGAACTGACTCAACAACACACAATAAGAACATAACCAACAAATGGCACTTTATTTAGGACCTTCATGTATATCATCTCAAAACTGTACAACATCCCTATAAACTAAGCTTCATACTGTTTGTGAAGGAAAAAAACCTCAGCAAAACTGCAGTTAGGACTAGTATTATATTCCTCGTCCCCATGTTTTAAGGTTACTGACAAATAATCTAAAAGGTCCTTCTTATTTTTCAGGGAAATTGACCAGGCAATGAAGATACTCAATTTAGAAAATGAAGGAAACCAAGAAATGCTTCAGGAGATCAAGAACAGGGTAGAAAAGTGCAAACTATATTTTCACGGGGAAATCCAGGGCTTTCAAGAGATGATCAGGCCCTTTTCTCCCCTACAGAAAAACTTTCTATCACCCCAGACACAGATACCAAATATCATTTGAACATGTGTGCAAGGTCAGGTTATAAGACCCTATTGGCAAAACACAATTCCTATTCGTCGTATCAGGGAGGCCTGAAAATCAGGGCTATTGTTATTATTTCTGAGATAGTTCATTCCCTTCATCATCCCATTTCCTCCTTAATGCTTCAGACAGCAAAGTCATTTGAACTGCAAGGTTGGTGGTTCAAGTTCACCAGCTGCTCCTTCGAAACCCTACACAGGATCACTATGAGTTGGAAACGACTTGACAACACTTAAGAGCATTTCCCTAAACCCCTGTTCTTCTTTTCTGCAGGGAGGCACAGAGAAGGAATGAGGAATTGGGGCTGGCCTCCTAGGTTTGCTTTTCCTTCACTTTCCTTCGCTTCCAAGCTGAGTGTTCACAGCACTTAGGCACCACCTAATACTAATAAGCATGATGCAGTCAGTTCTTTATTAGAGTTTGATGGTTGGCAAATCTAGTGCAGGTATTTTTAACATCATTTGTTCTTTTCTAGATTCATACACTAAGCCAAAAGGACTTGCTAGCGCAGAAAATATTCAAAATCGAGGTGGTCATTAGAAAAGTGAAGGAGGAAGCCAAACGTATTTACTTGCAACCGAAAGAGGGACAAAAACCATTACAACTTAGTACTCTTCTCCAAGAAACTTTTCAGGGTAGGTTTTCTAGGGGTGTGCCCTATCCCTTACACCTTTAGCAAGCCTTTTCCAGACTCAGGATTTTTAGGGCCTCAGTGCCAAGCCTGGTAAGACTGAAATAAGGAGAGGTTTCTTCTTGGCCACCTCTCAGTCTTTTTGTTATTTTCCTGACCTCAAGTTCCGAAATCATTTGCTGTTTTGTATCTTTAAGAAAATGCAGTAGCTGTATCTGAACTAATTTGAAAGTTAGGACAAAAAGGCAATTAGAAAAACATGAGTCTTTTCAAAACAAAGCAAGCAAAAAACGGTCTGTAGGCTTCTTGTTGTTGCTGATTAGTACCGTAGAGTTGGTTCTGACCCATAGCCACCCTGGGTAGGGGTTCCAAGGAGAAGCTGGTGGATTTGAACCGCTGACCTTATGGTCAAGTACTTATCCTACAGCACCATACTGAAAAAAAAAAAAAACCCTGGTGAACTCTGGAAAAGGGGGCTGGGGAGGGAGCTATTAGTTTTACTTTGCATAGGTCTATGCCCCAGAGCCTTGGTGGCACACTGAATTAAGCACTGGGCTGCTAACTGCAAGGTTGGTGGTTCAAACCCACCAACTGTTCTAAGGGAGATAAGCTGAAGCTGTCTGCTCCCATTAAGATTTATGGTCTCAGAAACCCTAAGGAGCAGTTCTACTCTGCCCTATAGGGTCCCTGGGGTCCTGGTATAGTGCTGAAAGTTAATGAACTAGACTGCAAGAATGGTTTGAACTGCAAGGTCAGCGGTTCAAGCTCACCATCCACTCCTAAGAAGCCCTATACAGGGTCGCTATGACTCGAAGCACTTAACAACAATAGGGTCACTATGAATAAGCAGCTCTGGCAGCATAGTGGTTATGAATCAGGCTATTAACCTCAAGGTCAGCAGTTTGAAACTACAAGCAGTTCCACAGGAGAAAGATGAGGCTTTCTGCTCCTATAAAGATGTGCAGCCTCAGAGACCCAGTACAGGGTCACTGAGTAGGAACCGACACCATGGCCCATAACCACCACCACCCAAGTTGGAATCGAGTCAATGGCAGTGGCTGTGGGCTGTTTATGCTCTGTATTTTCTCTCTTATGTTCATGCATGTCTATCATGCATGATCAAGTAGAGGGTCAGTTAAAAACAGGAAGAAAATGGATGGACACAGTGGTTACAACAATGGGCTCACATGCAGCAACACCTGTGAGGCTGGCACAGGACCAGTAAGCATTTCATTCTGTTGTACACAGGGTCACTATGCATCGGAATCAATTTGCTGGCACCTAATAACAATACTTTCATAAGTTAAAAGCAAACACTTTATAATAAAACAACCAATCCTATCATAATACAACCTACCAGATAATGGTGTGGCGATGTGGGTTAATGCCCCAGACTGCAAAGCCGTCTGAACTGCAAGGTCAGCGGTTCAAGCTCACCAGCTGCAACTCGAAAACCCTATACAGGATCGTTATGGGTCAGAATCGACTCAACAGCACTTAACAACAACCAGATAATACTGATAGAATCTTAAGAGTCCTAGACACAACCTCAAGGGGGGTAGATGAAAAAAAATCAAGCTATACCAAAATATACTTACAAAATCAGTATGCCCAGGTGTAGCAAGCAGCAGCATCGGATCATTCAGCCAGCTGCCTACCAGCCACCACCCCAAACCCAGGTCTTCTGGTTCCAAGTCCAGTGGTCTCTCTGGTACACAGACTCATTTCCACCAACCATGAGAGTATTCACATGCCAGATTTGGGGAAGTTTCTTCCAACTGCCAGAAAAAAATGAGAGTGGAAAGTGACTTGGGCACTAGCCTTCTCTCATGGCCAGCTTACTATAGATTGGTTGACTGAGGCCTATAAGCAAATTCAAGTAACATAAAATACTCATGAAGCTGGCCTGGCTAGAGGGTAACTTTTATCAAAGGACTGTGCTGTTGGGCACACTTATAGATTTCCCCTATCTTCTTTCTTTATCCACATTCCTTCAAACCATCCCAAGTAATGATCTAGCCTTAGAAAAATGAAAACATTCTTTGGCACTTTAATAACTTTTCTATTATTATACAAACTCAAAATAACAAACAGGAGACTGACCCCAACCCTCCCACTCCCACAAATTGATGAAAGAAAATTGAAATGAAGGATGCAAATTCCAAATAACTTCTAATGTCTCAAGCCAAATGGCCTAGTTAGGTACTACATAGTACACTGAAGTTTGAGAGTGAGGATGAGGGTGGTGTTCTGAAATAATCAGGGATCAAAGTTACTTCTGTGGGTATAGCACCTGCTTCCCACCTCCAACTCTGTTTTTACTTTTGTACCTAGATGAGCTGGTTAATCTTAGAAGACCATCTGAGGTTTGTGACACTGAAGCAATCATACAGGTAAATGGGAGCACACAGTCCAATGAATGTTATCAGGTAAGAACACGAGGTTTTAAAGGAAGGTGCTGGTGGTCGGTGAAATCTACTGTCTTGTTTCCAGAAATCAACCAGGAACTAGTTTAGGGTTAGAGGCATCTTGGTGATCAGCAGCCCCTTGTCATATAACATGGTTGCCAAGGAAAGCTGGTCCTCTACACTGTCACAGGGTAGGTCCCCAACTCTCACAAACTCTGGGTAGGACCGAAGCAAGAGTTCCATGGCATCAGCTTGCTGGGGGTATATCTCCAAGTACTTGGGCTCTTCCAGATGGTAAACACGGGAGTTTTCCACTGTGTAATACAGAAACAAATGGCCTCCCTCACCCACTAGCCGGGCTATCCCATCCTGAAGCATGTGAACTTCTGTTTCTGTAGTCAACTGGGCCCCAACATTTACAGGTTCTCCAGACTCCCAGCGAATTGGGAGCCCATAAACACTCAGTGCCCTCTCCCGATCAGTCAATACAGGGGGCAGAGAATCATGAATGAAGTCTTTGGCTCGCTGGTCAGCCACGGCATCGACAGGGGCAAAGTGTCCCAAACGGGCTACCAACACTCGTACCTTCTCCATGAAAGCGGTTCTCCGTGGATCCTTAGAATCCGAATGCTGTGCCCCCATGTAATCCATGAAGTCTCGGGGCAGACCCCTACGAAACTCCACATTTTCTTCCATTGCAGCCTGCACGGCCAGAGGTAGTACAGCCTCCAGAAAGTCGCCCCATGTATTGCGCTGGTACGTGGACAAGGTGAGGTGCAGAGAGTGCACCCCATCCTGGCATTCGGCTTGGTGAATGAAGCCCCGAGGAAAATAGAGCAAATCCCCAGGTTCTAGCACCGTCTGCAGCACCGGCTCGCCCAAGTCCTCCTGGCTGAAGTTGGGGCTGGAGGTCAAGGCCAACTCCTCAGTTGGGTCGCGAGGTCGGTAGACACGCCAGAGTTTCCTACCTTCCAGCTGCAGCACGAAAGCCTCGATGTCGTCGTAGTGGGGGGCAAAACCCTGAGAGTTTGGGGGCGTAAGGTAAACGTTGGAGCCTGCCATGCTTCCAAACTGCTCCTGGAGCACAGCCAAAAACTGCCACACGGTGGAGGAGAAAGCCTGCGGACAGAGGAGGCGCAGAGAGCAGCCGGCCTGGTACAGGGACCACGCTGCGGCGGGCAGGGCGCGGCCCGGCGGGTTCAGGGTCTCTCGCCGCCCGTTGATGTAGCGCGCAGCGTCCAGATGCTGGCCAAACTGCACATCCTCGTGGCGCAGCATCGAGTCCAGGTCGGCGGTAGAGAAAAGGCCCTGGTAGTAGGTATGGTCCTGCCGCCGCACCAGCACGGCCTCTCGCTCCCACAGGCGGCGGTAGAAATGCTCTGGCGGCATGGGCGCGATGAGCCATTCGAAGAGGCGCGCAGCCCGCCGGCGGCTGTTAGGGATTCGGTTCAGCTCTGCCAGGACGCGCTGCAGCGGGGAGCCCCAGGAAAGCTCCCCTCCGGAGCTCTCTCCCTGTGGCCCCGACAGCGTCGCCGGGGCCACGGACGAGGAGGCGGCCAAATGCTGGGCATTGCACAGCAGGGCGGAGGTCTCCACCACGCGGGTGGGCACCGAAGCCGGCACCAGGCGAGCGGGTTGGGTCTGCGCCTCCACCAGGCGGGCCGGCGGGGTCTGCGCCTCCACTAGGGCGCGGGGCGTCTGAAGGGAACGGGCTGCGGGCGGGGCCTCCAGCAGCTCGGCAGGCCCGAGGGGGCCGTACGACTCTCGCCGGGCCGCATCGGGGATGGCCGCCGCCGCCCCACCAGACAGCGGGTCACCGGTACCGTCGACTGCCGACTCCACCCGCGAGTCTACCGAGTCTTCACTCGGCAGCGTCTGGGCCCTCAGCGCGGCCATGCGGGATGCAACACTTCTCCTCAGCTGCCTTCGGATCTTCCTTGGTCTCAAGGGCAGGCTCAGAACCGAGCTGCTGTGTGGCTGGGGCTGGCGCCGGCGTCGCAACCGTCCCCGCCGTAGCAACCCCGCGCTAGCCCGGAGCCCTTCCATGACCCGTACCTTCCTATCAGCAGAGCCAGTGATGGCAAGAAAGAGACTTACGCTGACTGCCGCTGCGGTGCATTCTGGGAAAGGGGCGCGGCCTCCAACCTCGTTTTCATTGGCCACGCCACCACCAGCCTTTTACGGGGCACCGCCCTCTCGCCTTTTTAAGTAAAGGATCTCTGGTAGCGTAGTGGTTACGAATCGGGCTACGAATCTTAAGATGAGCAGTTCAAAACTATCAGCTATTCTTAGGGAGAAAGATGAGGCTTTCTGTTCCTGTAAAGATTTACAGCCTTGGAAACTCTGGAAACTCTGTCGCTATAGGCACATAACCCACCACCCACCACCCCCACTCACAGTGACCCTGTAGGACAGAGAACTATTCCCTCGCTTTTCTGAGGTTGTAAATATTTATGGAAGCAAACTGTCTTATCTTTCTCCCAAGGAGATTGGCTGTCATTTTGGTTAGCAACCCAATCCTTAACCCACTGTGCCACCAGCGTTCCTCATGAAACAATTAGAACAGAAATAATGAGCATGTGGGTACAATGTGAAGAATGTAATCAAAGTCACTGAACAATACCTGTAGAGATTGTTGAATGAGGACCTGTTTTGCTGTGTACACTTTATGGAAAATACAATAAAATATTATTTATACATTTTTTCATCCATGTGCCCTATTGTCTAATCTAAGCTCCTAAGTCATTTGCTGAAAACAAATAATGTAGAGCCTTATCAGCCACAACTTCTCTAAACTCTACCCCTAGAAGCCAGACTTTGCTCTTCCTTACCTTTGGTTTTCATATTTTTACTGAAGTTGTTCCCTGTAAATGCTATCTCCCACTCATCATTTGTTAAAACTCTGGTTAAGCCCATTTCACATTCCATCTCTTGCCCAAAGTTTCTATAGATCTCTCTAACCCAAGAGAACTTTAACCTTTGACCCTCATACATAAGTTTAGTACATTCTGCCTTGTGTGCTAAAATAAGATTTATGTACTTGTCATATTCCTTCCAATAAACTGAAAACTCCTTCAAGGAAAAGACTTCCTGATGCCTGTTTTCAGTCCTCTCTTGCAGTCAGCACACAGCTTTACATATACACAGTATACAGAAAACATTTGTGGAAAGCAGACCAGCCAGAACTGAGTCCCTATTCATTAACTAGCACTAGCTTAGGTCTGTTATCTCATCTGTTAAGATGGGGATAATAATTAAGCCTGCTTATTCATAGTTTAAGGAGCTCTGGTAGCGTAGTGGCTACGAGTCGGGCTGCCAACCTCAAGGTCAGCAGTTCGAACCTACCAGCTGTTCCGCAGGAGAAAGATGAGGTGTTCTGCTCCCGTAAAGATTTACAGCCTTGGAAACCCTGTGCAGGGTCATTATGAGTTGGAATCGACTCCATGGTACTTGACAACAATTCATAGTTTGGAGTCCTGGTGTGGCGCTGTGTGTTAATGCACCAGACTGCAAAGCCATTTGAACTGCAAGGTCGGAGATTCAAGCTCACCAGCTGCTTCTCGGAAACCCTATACAGGGTCGCTATGGGTCGGAACCGACTCAACAGCACTTAACAACAACAACTATTCATAGTTTAGGATTTCTGGTATGGCACTGTAGATGAATGCGCTTGACTGCAAAGTCAGCTTGAACCACAAGGTTGGCAGTTCAAGCTCACCAGTCATTCCTTGGAAACTCTATACAGGGTCTCTATGAGTCGTAACCGACTCAACAGCGGTTAACAACAACATTCATAGTTTGGAGTCCTGGTATGGCCCTGTAGGATAAGCACTTGACTGCAAGGTTGGTTAAGCCCGCAAAGTCAGCAGTTCAAACTCACCAGCCACTCCTCAGAAACCTGACACTAAGGGTCAGAACCGACTTGACGGCACTAAACAACAACAATTCATAGCGTTGGAGTCCTGTTGTGGCACTGTAGGATAAGCACTGGACTGCTAACTGTAAGATTGGTGGTTCAAACCCACCTCAGAAACCTTACACAGGGTCACTATGAGTCAGAACCGACCAGGTGGCACTTAACAACAACAATTATATTAATAGGATTATTTTAAGGATAAAATAATGCATATAAGACATTTAGCCCTGGGCCTGAACAGAGTAGACAAAAAATGGTGGCTGTGTTGTTAAGTGCTGTCAATCAGTATGACTCATAATGATCCTGTTCAGAGTTTCCGAGGCTGAAACCTTTGCAAGAGGAAAAATCTTCATCTTTCTTCTACAGAGTGTCTGGTGGGTTCAAACTGATGACCTTGTGGTTATCATACAGAGTGACTGGAACAAAGTCCTTGTGTTGGGAGGAATGGGGAAGGGTATGACACAGAAGTTCTTGAATTGGGTGAGGTGACAACAGGCAGTGCAGGTTTTAAATCTTTTTTTTTTTAATGTTTTATTGTGACTTATGTGATCATTTACATGAGAGAACATTAATCTTACATTCACCCTATCGTATATCGTTTCATTGCCATGGTTACAATCCCCTCCATGCATCATCCACCAACCAAAGGGTATATCCTACAAGCCTGTTCCCTGTTAGCACACAGCCCCTCTCCCTCTCTGGGTCTAAAGTCCCCAGCTGCTCCATCTCTCCATGTCATCGTCTCTACCTCCATCTCAGGCATCACTGCTTCTCTGGGTAGGGTCCTGCTCTTAAAATCATTTTTGCATATGCCCTAGGGTAGCCTATGTAAATGAGAGGGACCCAAACCAGACAAGTACAAGGTTTTGCAGGTTATACTCTGCACAAAGATACCTGGCCAAGGGCCAGAGTTAGAACGGGAACTAACCAGCATTTTCCCAAGTCCACCAGTCTGAAGGAGACGGAAACTTCATGTTAACTTATACAAAGGCTGTGTGTGCTGACCTGATATGAGATCCCCTGGGAAAATGTTGAAGAAGAAATTTGTCACTGGGAGCTTTGTCTTTTCAAAGAGACTGGTTTTCAGTTACCCGTTGGCACATCCTGTCGTGACTGCTGTGAACTGGGGGTGAGCTAGGCATTTCTGCCTGCCAAGCTGGGGCACTCTGGACGCAGTGGGTTGTAGGGCAACATCAGGTATCAATATCTCCTCTTCCTAATCTTTCCTGTGACCTCAGCAGTTTCTTTTTTTTCCAACATGTTTTTGTTATTTTCTCAAATTAAAAGGCCTGTTGCTATTCTGCCCTCTACTTCCCTTTGTGACTGGGAGGCACTTTTGTTGTTGTTGTTGTTGTTATGTGCTGTGGAGTCGGTTCTGACTCAGTGACCCTGTACAAGGTTTCCAAGGCTGTACATCTTTACTGGAACAGAAAGCCTCATCTTTCTCCCATGGAGCAGCTGGTAGTTTCCAACTGCTGACCTTAAGGTTTGCAGCCCAATTCGTAATCACTACGCTACCAGAGTTCCTTTTAGGAGCCTACTTATCTTTAACTTTTCCTGTGGCTCTATTTATTTCTCACTATAAAAGCAGCTATTTATAGCCATTTTTAGATACATAACTTAATGGCATAGAATAATGGTTTTAATATATTATTGGGTGGCAAAAAAAAAGCAGATGAAAAAATACATATTTGGGGATATATATGTGTGTGTTGGAGTCCTAGTGTGGCACTGTTGGTTAATGTAGTGGACTGCAAAGTCGGTTTGAGCAGCAAGGCCAGTGGTTCAAGCTTACCAGCTGCTCCTCAGAAACCCTATACAGGGTCACTATGGGTCAGAAACTGACTCTACAGCACTTAACAACAACAACATGTGTGTGTTGGTGTGCATGTATGTCTTTATCTATCCATATATGGGTATTTTGCATCTATAAATCTTCTAGAAAAAAGCTAGAGAGTCTTGGTACTATTTAATTAGTTGCTATCTCTGGTGTGGCGCTGTGGGTTAATGCACAAGATTGCAAAGTTGTTTGAACTGCAAGGTCGGCGGTTCAAGCTCACCAGCTGCTCCTTGGAAACCCTATACAAGGTCACTATGGGTCGGAATCAATTCAATGGCACTAAACAACAACAATAACAACATCTCTGCATAACTTTCTGTTAGCGAACCAAAAGAGAAGAACCTGCTCAGCATTTCTCAAGCTGAGGGAACAGAAGAAAAAATTCAAGCCTCGACTTGAAATATTGAATGATTCTATGGACAAAATACTGAATGATGCAGAAAGCATCAAAAGAAGATGGAAGGAATATACTGAGTCATTGCACCAAAAACAAATGGTCAAAGTTCAAACATTACAAAAAGTAGCATATGATCAAGAGCCAATGATACTGAAGGAAGAAGTCCAAGGTACATTGAAGACATTGACAAAGACCAAGATACTGGGAATTGATGGAATACAAATTGAAATCTTTTAACAAACTGATGTAGCACTGGAGGCACTCACTTATTTATGCCAAGAAATTTGGAAGACAGCTACCTGGTCAGCTGAATGAAAGAGATCCATAT